TTGAAGGCAAGAAAAGATATCCTATTAGCAAAACATGTTTACCTACGTTTCATATTCCATTCCTCAGGGAATGGCATTTTCTCAACAGAGATCAGGTCCAAGGTCCTAACTCGGACAAAGCGGCTCATCCACCCTCGGTCCTTGTCCTCATCAATGCTAGCAAAAAAGGCCTTCGGGGATCGACATTTTAACTTAATCAGGCCACCTCGATAAAGTCGGGGGCTATACAGTCTAATCAGATGATCAAGGGTAAAAGATACCCCTCGACCATGTTCGAGAAATACCTAATCAGATAAACGATGAGCCAGAATGATGGATAGATTTGTCCAAGCGTCACCCAATATTGTCTGCAGAAATCGAGGATCACCAGGTCTATCGGTGGCAAAGAGGCTTCTACCGGGCCTAAGGTGAAAGGATATGTGTATACACTAAGAAAATTGGCTTTGTGTTTGGTTATGTCTTCTTCGCATGAAGGAATCTCTACTTGCATCGCCTCCCCCCAACGCAGTCAACCTTCACTTTCTCAGTTTCAGTTATTAGACTGATGTATCGAGACATAGGTTCGCCTCGTCCCGGAACAAAGGAAGGTTTTTGACCTGGAAATCAGAAGATATTTCACAAGGCCCGAGAATACACTCCTCAATACGAGGTGGTACTACCGTTTTTCTCTTAGACGAGCGTGATGATGAAGGGGCTTTCTCCTTTTGGGAACAGTTTTAGAGGTTTTTGCCATTCTTGCTGTAAAATCTCATAAGGAGAGGAAGAAATCGGTTGAGAGATGAACACAAGGATGAAGTGAGCGTATAAACACAGTTGCTAAGGATCCGAATATATTGTTAAAGGTAAAGGTTTAAGGAATGAAGGATTGAGGAATTTATAGGGATAAGTCATATTTAAGAAGGTAAAAGGACAGCCAACTGCCATTTTCAATTTAAAGCTTTTCGAGAAACGTACAGGCATGGCTTTTGCACTTTTTTCTATCACATCAATCACTGACCTAACGTGACTGGCATCATGATGGGGACATCGAAGAGTCAAAGAATTCAAATCGTTTCTTATCATTTCATTCTAAGAAATGCGGGGACTATCTATATACGGTCAAAACCAGGGAAGGCCGATTTTAAGGTTTCTATGGAATTTCAAGCCCGGCCTCGATGGGCTCGAAGCACAGTCTAAGGATCGTCCCCGAAGCACTCGCCTCGATAGGATATATCGAAGACTCATCACAGCGTACCTCGAGGCAGCATGAAAATCAATGACCGTCATGGAAAGGCAGGAAATTCCCGAGGGCACGTGATTAGAACTCACAGTCTGCGAGAAATAGTACAAATCCATACTGAGCTACTATACAGTTGTACTAATAGCATTTCCTCGTCATTATTAGATGTGTACTATGTTGAGATTCCCCCCTCCTATATAAAGGGGACCCTTGTCATTTTGTAACACAGATGAATATTGAATACAATAGAACATTCTCTGCTTTTCTTGCCTAAACGTGCTCAACAATTACTCTATAGATTTATTGCTTGTTCATTTACTGTTCACTTATTGTCCATTATTAACCGCAAAAGGCTATCTTCAAGGCCTTTGATATCATTATTTCTTTATCAATTTTTCATTATTAACTGCCCTAACTGGACCTCGAGCCCTCTGTTCCAGCCAGCTCGAGGCCTAGTCCTTCATCAACATTGGTTTGCATATCATATTCTCTTCATTTACTCTTAGCATATATTGCATAACAACTAGTATTGAAATAAATCACATACTTTTAGAACCACAAAATCAAATATAATTGTTAATACCATTTTCAAGGTAAACAATATCAACATCTAGATGTATGCACAAATACTCATAATTAAGCTCTCGCTCCCTCGAGTAACTTGCAGGTTCTTAATTTATCCTTAGGACCCGTAGTTGTTCAGACAACGACTCATCTTCCTTGGATCTTGCTTCTCTTTCCATTTCAGCATACTTATCAATTCATAAGGCATCCTGACCTTAACGGGTGTGGCGAAAGTGGATTCTGCTATGGTATATATGGGTGGAACATATCGCTCATGGTTGGCGGTGTGTGCTGCGGGTATATATTGCATATCAGTATTTGCGAAGGTGACATTGTCACGAGGGGGAGTTTGGACCAAATTGATTGTGGTTGGTAGATTTTAGGGAGCTTGAACATAGTTGGGAATATAAGGCATGTGTATGGGAGGGTTTGGTGGGTTTGCGGGGGTAACTGGTGGTATGACCTGGGTTATGGCGGGGTCTATAGTACAAATGGCGGTATTTGGGGTATTGGCAGGTTGCCTAGTTGATGAAGGAAAGTGGTCAAGGATTGAATCTAGTCATGGAAAATAGGGTGGTTGTAGAAGTTTCGTCACGGCTAGATGTGCCAATTCCCTCCCCGTAATCTCCTCCCAGACTCTCCTCATTTGGACCTTCTTCAGGCTTCCTCAAATTCTTTCGACATCATGATAATGATACTCCAGCTCATCTTCCGGATCCTCCTCTGGTTCCTCTTCAGACTCAATCTGTATGTACTCCACTATCTGATTGTCATCATCAGGTGGTGATATCATATGATCAACCGATCCTAGGACTACCTGTTGGTGGATGGTAGAGGTGACAAGGTAGTGAGGTAGAATCTCGTGGTATACTTGCAAAACTCTCAAATCTTCCAACCCGGCTAACCCCTCCCAACTCGGCGTGGCCAGTTGATCCTCTTCAGAAATCCACACAAAGTACTCCCGCGTACACTATGCTTTTGGTCCCATACCCATCGTGATCAAATCACTCCACTCATCTTGAAGCCATCTTACTCTCGAAATTGGGATTTTTCCATTGTAATCGTCCTCATACAAAGCCATTCAGGACTACAGGGGTATGTCTTAGACCAGACCGAACTGCCTTAGGACTCTCAGCGATGCATATGGCTGAATTCCTTCCAAACCCATCAACTCAATGAAATATTTCTTCAAACCCCTCACGATTGCTCTGCCGCTTAGTCAAGAAAACTTCCAGTTAACAAAATTTCCATTTAGGTTAGTCAAAAATTCCCACCATTCTTTTTTACCATGTTGTGTTCCCCAGTGCCTCATTCTCTCTTCATGAATACGGATCACATTGCTGGTGTCGACAAAGTAATTGATGGTCGTCTCTCTTTGAAAGAAATACTTTGTATCCTATATTTGCAACAACAAGTTACAACCTTTAAAGAAGCCATATCCCCTCGAACATGCTGATAGTGCCCTGCATATCTCTGCCAACAGCATCAGGACAAGAGTGACCCATAAATTCCTCCAAAATATGGCCAAGACCAGAGGCAACACATTGATGTTGATCCGCCCATTTCACTATGGAAAAACTAGAAATCCCAACAATGTCAAAGAGAAGGTCAAAGGGTGGAGGTTCTACCACTTTTCCCTGTCACATTGAAATTCTTCATGATGCAGGTCATAGCTTTCTGGATGTCCAAATCTATCTAACAGTTGGTCTAGCTTATCCACCTGTGTTCAACGTTCCTTAGTTTCATGTTGTTATTCAATCCCAATACATAGAGAAATCTATGACCCGACATGATGACCAGCAGTATGGGCTTTCGTCCAGCTAATGGCAACTCAGAAAAGCTTGTTACTTCCTCGAGCATTAGTGTTAGCTCACAGTCGAGAAACTTGAAAACCGCTTTGGCTGGATCTAGAATTCTATCAACAATGTGGTAAAAACTCTATCAGCTCGAATGTTCATCAATGTAGTCATCGCCCCAAGATGTGTCCTAATACTATCTCCATGTGGTCGTCAGATGTTTCTCCACCATTATTTCAGCTTGTGGGGTGCTCCTATGATCATGCTAATTTCAGGGATATTGTAGTTGATTTCCATCAAAAACTGGAGATAAGGCTAGGTAAGTATTTTGCTCTGAATCCTTGGTGTCTTAATCTGGATTGATTTGTCATTTCACATAAGGCATGTCGTTATGTGCATGACCCGTTAACATTAGAGAGGCTTTCCTACTTGTGAATCAATGCTATAGATCGACTCACCTAGGGTGTATGCAGCATGATATATGTTTACTAAGAGTAGAGTGTTTCCTAAACTTTGAAGGGGTATCGAATAACTGCGAGACAATATCGTTCTCTGAAACTAGAGAGTTTTGAAAAGAAGGTTCAGAGGGGTGCAAGGACAACCCTTGCATGATTTGTGTGTGATTGTTTATGGCCAAGACTCGATAGAAAAATGTGATGACAAAGCAGTAACAAATAATTGTGGTGAATGAGTGATAATATCAAGAATAAAGCAAGTAAACATATAATTGCAAATTATTGAGACATGTAAACATATAGTGATGTGTCAAGCAAATAGAATATAAACAAACATCCCCCAACTGTTAAAATCTAGCTTAAGTCTGCTATGGTCAGAACCTAAGTGTAAAATCCCTCGCAGAGTCGCCATGTTATTGCACTCTATTTTGCACAGGTCAAAACAAAATACAACTTGTGATTTTCTCTAAAGTTGATAAAATAAGCACTACTAGAAATAAGGCTTATGGCAACCCTTCTAAAACCGTTGCAATAAATACACTAACCGACCCTATAGAGATACTGGGACGATTTAGCACTCGTTCCCGGATTTGCTGTTACCATAGGTCTATTAGAACGTGAAATAGTTACAAAATCGTCCCCGTATATTGATATTGTAACAGTTATGAAACTGTTACATCAATCTGTGTAACGGTTTTTTATTTTGTTGGGACAGTTATAAAATGTTCCGATATATTTGTGCCAACGATATTTTACGACTATCGCAACGATTTTTATAATATATTGTAACGGTTTTTGTGATCTATTGCAACAATTATCTATAGTCTATTGTAACAGTTATTAGGGGCTGCTATTATTGTTTGCTAGGTCTATTGCAACGGTTATATGGTCTATTGCAACGGTTATATGGTCTATTGCAACGGTTATATGGTCTATTGCAACGGTTATATGGTCTACAAAATAACATTGAAATATCAAACTAGCATTATCCATATACAAAAACAAAATATGAATACATTGTTTGATCAACAATATCTAAGTTGAAATAGATGAGTTTGCGTACAAAAAGTTCTAAACTAAAATATCCTAGAACATAATGAGAAAGTCTAACAACGATCAACAACACTCACGTAAGGTCTTCATCACTGCTTTCATCTGCAATCGTACCTACAAATGACGATCAATAAATGATTAAACAAAGAAAATTTTAAGATGTTTGAATCACAAAGTAATTGATTCAAAGCCTGAATGTCAAACAAGAAGCTAAATATTTTCTAACTTCCAATATTTTCATAAGACAACTAAAAGGTTTTACATTTTCAAATGACATTAGTATTCAAAGCCTCAACTCTATTTCAAAGCAACTCAATTCCAACAGCAGACCAAAATAACGAAGGAACACTCTAGCTCCTGTCAACTTACACTGCAGAATCTAACATTTGACAATTGAAAATGAAGGAACACAAACGCACATGCTAACTGACATAATGCGTACAGATACAGCAACCAAAGGTCACTTCACTATGTTAAGTGACACATAAAACAATCTGCCCAAAAGTCCAGAATCAGCAATAGACAAATGATAGAATTCAACTCTCCAGAGATTACTACATGAACAGATTATTTCAACAACCTAAGGCGTCAGAAACTCACAAAAATTATTAAATTGTCAATGAGTTAATACCTGTAATGAGCTGGCCTTCTTTGATGCTACCAGTAGATGGACAATGAATTGGTTGCAAAGTTGTTTGTTGTGAAGATGAAACTTCTCTTGGTGAATTATCACCCAATGCCGCTAGAATAATGTTAGCATCAATATTAATTCCTGAACGTTGAAGTCGTGCAAGAACATCCGCAACAACTTCTTGACGAATAGTTGCCTTTTGTTCCTCAATTTTTTCTTCCATTCTCTATATTTTCTCCTCCATTTTTTGCAAACAATTTTTGGAATTTGAAGAGTGTTCAGAACATCCTACTTTCCCTCTCAAAGAAGTTCTTGTAACCCCTGTCCATACAACCTCAAACGCCCTGGATGTTCAGGTTCCATGACAACTACAAATGCCTCTACGAACTCGTTGCCATTTTCAGTTTGTTGTGCTTCTATATCCTCCATTTCAGCCTACAAAGCAAATTCAAAAATATAGAATTCAAGTAAATAACAAGTAAACTAACAGAAATATACGATTGATCTCGGTATAACAATAGTTAAGTATAATTCGCACAATTTTACTAGCTGTGTCTTCATCCGAGCACATGTATGATCGTCCAACTTTCCTTTTTCTTGTAGCTACAAAGACTTCCTTTGGTGTTCAAGGATCCGAAGTTTCCTTATCATTTTCCTAGTCACATGGAAGTGCGTTAGTATTCCTGGTGATCTGCCATAAACTAAACATGAGCCAAAACTGAGAAATATTTTTTCATGATTTGCTAGTTACACACTAACTTAGAGCGAACTAAAGCAAAACTTCTTTTTCCAGCAGTGTGAGGATCCTTCAACTTTTTCTGGTTCTCAATATTAGTTTTGGACATTTTCTGCAGGAAGAAAGAAGCACCAAATAACAACTTACAAGTACAACTTGAGAAGTATACAGTAAACACAATAGAAGAGAAAATATAGACAGATAAAGATGAGATCAAGTAACTAGAGCAATTCACAGAAGCACATAATAAAACAAAATATGCAGTCCGTATGGGCCAGACTTTTCACATTTAGAAGTTTCTGTAAAATCAGCAGCTCTATATAATAAGCAGTGTCTTAAGAACCCAATTGATGAAGATAACAGATACGCCGCATCAAATACAGTACAGTTTTAAGAAGAGCACATAAAGGAATTGCTGAAATGCTATAGAGATAATAGATATGAGCATAAGCACATGTCAAATTGCAGTTGGACCAACAACAGAAGGAATAGAACACCATCACTGTGTAAGACTCCAGAAACAGCACTTAGATCAATGAAAGAAGGCATAAAATACCAACCATGTGTAATGAGAAATATATTTGTCACAAGGAAAATCACAACAAATATGCTTTCAAAGTACGTATGAGCTTTAAAATAAAACTAAGTACCAACGGAAAAAATAATGGCAATAATTACAACATGTTTAAGGCATGATGGTGCCAACATTGCAATTCTGTACAAACAATTAAAATATATTCCTAGGATCATAATTAAGTTTACATGTCATTGCACTCCAAAATGCCTCCTCCCTTTGATTTGTCGCAACAATATGACACATTAACAATGCTGTCTACCAATTTCAAAATTCAAGATCTTATATTAATTTAATGTTTCATAATATTTGACTTTCATGTGATATTCAATTTCATGTTCACATCTTCTTAAGCTGCTGAAGCAGCTTTCCCCAGAGGCTCATTGTTACATAGGCTCGTATTTGGTCAAGATCACATTTTTAAGAAGAAGAAGACAGAAGTGGAGGAAATATCTCCGGGAGGAGGAGGAGGAAGAAGTTCTAGAAGAAGAATAAGAACAAGTAGAAAGAACTAGACTTACCTCGAGTTTTTCAGAGTTCCAATACCTAAGGAGTTCCTTAAACTGAGAAGCTGGAACATCTTCAGGGACATTTTTCATTCGAGTTTCATCATTTTGATAGGCGTCAAAGTGAACTTTTTTCAATCTACTCTTGTGCTTTCTCCAGGCAGCTTGGACTGTTTCCAAAGTATATTTTTTTCCAGCTTCAGGAATATCATATTTATCCTACAATTGGTGTCAAATCTGTTAATGCAGAAAATATGAAAGATGTTCAACTAAAAATTGAAAATGAAGATCTTCAGACCTTGGTATATTCCCATATATCCTATTTTGTGTCCATCTTCCTCCAATCCAAAATATCAAGAGGACATAGAGTCGCATTCCTTGCCAATATGCCGAGGAAGCTTCCAAACTCTAGCACAACAGCTTCAGTAGGACCAACAGGTTGATTTAAGTAGTTAAGTAAAATCAATTTACGCTATTGCTGTCCATGTACACTTTTCATCTTTGTTCGACCTCTGTTTCTCCTTTGAATGGAAGGGCCTACAACCATACAAACCAAAGAAAACCACCAAATTACTATTGTTGATACATTGTGTATGACTGAAATAGGATGTAAGCATTTTAGATAAAGTCTATACGGTCTTACCTTGTTCCTCACATTGTTCATTTGTGATAGGAATTGTCGAATCCAACTGAACTCGTTCCTCTACTTGTTCCTCTACTACTTGTGTTGCAGGAGTGGTTGATCTAATGTGTACATTGGCTGCTACTTCTGGATATTGGGGTATTAGCTGATTCTCTTCAATGATATTCGGACGCTCTTTATTAGATGGACGTGCAGGAACAACATATTTTTGGCTAAACGAACTCCTCATTTGGTTTGCCAAAGATGTCATTGTTCCAGCTTTTATGTATGCCGCGTTTGTCTTTCTTTTGGCTTTTGAAGGTCTTTCTTGATTCATATTTATCAGAACCTGATGAAGAATACAAATTAAATTAGCGCTAACAGGTATTATATAAAAGACGACAGTTGAATTCAAAGGATCAGACTATTACCTTTACCTTCACAGTAGACCTTTTCTTATGAGTTTCCTCTTTTCTTATTCACCTGTCAAAGATAAATAAGGGGCTGTCAACTTCTTTTTCCACATAATTCCACACAACATATATTACCGGTGGTACAAGGGGCTTTTGTTGATTGGATGCATGGTTGCAAGTGTTGTTATATTTGGGAGTCTCGTGATCGCTTTATGGCATCTTTGGGAAAGGAAAACCTCACTGAAGGAGGAACCAGAGGACAGCATAAAGAAGGTCGACATCCTGCAGCAGAATTTTGAGGCCTCTTTACACAAGAATCTGGAAGAGGCTCGATCTGTTAATATAATCCGATATGGTGAATGACCAGATTTCCATGGTACATTTGGAGAAACATTGCAATGTGTACTACTATATTTTCATGACAATGTATTTTAACTTCTTTTTCTGCAGAGATATTTGGATCACATGCAAAGAGTTGGGGAAGTGTAGATATTGGTGTGACAGTATGTGGTCCTCCTACTCTACATTCCAGTGTTGCTAAAGAGTGCAGAAGGCAGAACTTGCAAAGAAGAGGCCATCAGGCTATTTTCCATTTCAACAGCCACAGTTTTGACCTCTAAATCACCCCAGTAAGCATCCGATAGCTCGTATAAGGAGGACTTGTTACTGTTCAGATAGGAACAAATTGTGGAAACCACAGATTAAATCACATGCTCATGAACCAACAACCTTGGAATTAACAAAACGAAACACTGTTGTGCAGACTAAGCCAAAAAACTGTCCAGCACTGTCCAAAACTATTCAGATTTGCAAAAAAAAAAACACTGCCGTAAACAACACTGTCCAAAACTGTCCAGATTTGCAAAAGAAAACACTGCTGTAAAAAACACTGTCCAGATTTGCAAAAAAAAAAAAAAAAAAAAACACTGTCCAGATTTGCAAAACACTGCTGTAAACAACACTAATCTCTGTCTTAACAACAGTCAACAACTGATTTCTTAACACAGCAGAGCTCTGTTTTTTACATCAAAAAGCAATTCAAAGACAAATGGCCAAAGGAGTGCAAATCGAGCTTCAGAACTTTGCAACATTAAAAAATTAAAATTCCAAAAAAAGATAGAAAAAAGCATAACAGAATGTTGAAAAACAATCAACCAAAAGCACTAACTAGTATGTGTACATATATGAAGTTACTACAATAGAACAAAGAGGTATTAGAAGCTAAGCCGCAACCTGTTATCAGCCTCCTATGCTTTCCAGTAATTCAGGTGCAGCAAAAAGTTCAGATAGTATTGCTGCAGTGACTCTCAATCTTGAAAATTGTTCATGCTCCCAGACTACTTACACCATTTAGTAGCTTTAGCACAGTAAAAAGACTAAACATTGCATACAAAGACATTTAAACAAGTAAAGATGGTATATATGACTGCTATATTAACCGGCAAACACAAGCTTAATATACAAGGAACTGATACAAACTAAAATAATGGAATGATCTTGAAGCTTATTAAAACGAAACAACCACAAATACATGCATGTGTTATATCATCATCCTTCATGTATAGCCAAAAGCCAACTAAAACTCAAGGAAATTCAGATATGCACATTAAGCAGACCAAATTAAGACCAAATTAAGACTGGGCACTACTGAAATAATACTAAAAATTGCATTTTTTTCCTTCTCTACCAACAACAACAACAACAATTAAGACTTGGTACGCAGACCTTACTCCTACAAATACAAATAAAAATCAGAAGTTCCTTCTTCAATCATCAGCCTCCATCCAATTCCAATCCGTATCATCGAAGTCATCCTCCTCTTCTGATTCTTCCATGATTGTATCTTCTGAATGTTGTACATCCACTGGAATATCAATGACAGCAAGAGGCACATCTTCTCTCGACCATCTAACATCAATATCGGCTAATCTAGTTGATGGACCGGCGTCATCATTAGGTTCCCTCCAAAATGTCTCCCCAACATTAGGAATATTCTCTTCCTCCAAATCATACAAATCAACAGGAACGTTATTCCTGGCATAGTAAACATCTTTCTCAATTGGATCCTCCACATAAAAAACTTGATTTACTTGAGATGCCAATACAAAAGAGTCATCAGTACTACATACTCTGTTAAAGTATACCCGAGTTAACCCATATTCATCGACTTCATTACGAAACCTATCACATCTAAATAGTACAACACTAAAGCGGCCCCAATAATCAATCTCAATGATATCCTGAATAGCTCCATAGTAGAGAACCTCTCCATCAATAGGATTTTGGTCCCTAGCACTAGCAAAACTATCCGTTGTGGCTGACAAAGTCACACCACTATTCTGAGTCTTCAACGAGGCATCCCGGGTCATTGTATGAAATAAGTAACCATTAATAAAATATCCAGTATATCGTTTGGCCAATGTATTAGGCCCTTTAGCTAGCCATCTCAAATGATTAGGCACATCAATGCTTTTAACTTTTTCTTTAAACCAATCGGCGAAGTTCTGACTATGATTTCTTGCTCTTACCCATGCATTTGATCTAGTACAATTATCAATTAAATTCTTATGTTTCCTGCAAGCCATATGTTTCAAATTTAATCATTAGACCAATATGAATTTAATTTAAAAATCATAAAACATAAAATAAATTAAGCTTATAATATAAGTGATGGTAATATATTTTATCTTACATGATAAACACCTCCACTTGTTCATCTCCAGTATTGAATAGAGCATATCTATGTGCCTCAAAACATAACTGCAAATCCATGGTAAAAATCTTTCCTTTTCTCTTATTCTTACTTCCAATTAGATGGCCTATTTTACGAAATATAGGTGACAAATCTGCTCCCTCAATGTCCCCATCATCCTCAGTTTGGTACCTACTGAATCTTGTCTTCACCCCATCATGTAGGTATCGCGAACAAAAGGTCAAGCACTCTTCCGCTAGAAAACCCTCTGCAATTGACGCCTCTGGATGAGTTCGATTACGAACAAACGCCTTATACTTGCACAAGTTTCATTCAGTTGAGTACATCCAGCGACAATGAGTTGGACCCCCAAGCTTAATTTCACTTACTAAATGAATAGGCAAATGAGGCATTATATCAAAATAGGTTGGAGTGAAAATCGTTTCAAGCTCACATATAATATCATTAATTTCTGTCTGCAATCTATCAAGATCCTCTCGCCTTATAACCTTAGCACATATGGCTTTAAAGAAGTTACCCAACCTAATCAATGCCAAAGAAACATTCTTGGGTAACGACTTTCTAACAGCAATTTGGAGCAAGTAATGCATTATAAAATGAGCATCATGACTCTTGTACCCGGATATTTTCATCTCTTTCTCATGCACACAACGTGATATATTAGAGGCACACCCTTTTGGTAATTTGGCATCTTTAAAGACGGTGCAAAATCGTCTCTTCTCTTCTGGATTCATGTAGAAACAAGCTTTAGCCAAAGCAATTGTTCAACTTACAACATCTTTTATTGGTTGAAGCACTTTTCGTATTCCCATTTCTTGCAAATCATAGCGAGAATTTACATGATCTTTTGACTTTCCATCTATCTCCAATAATGTCCCAAGAATACTATCACATATATTCTTTTCAACGTGCATTGGATCAAGATTGTGCCTCAATTTGTTAGTTTCCCAATATGGTAATTCAAAGAAGATGGATCTTTTCTTCCATGGACCCTTATTATCCCGAGACCTTTTCTTTTTACCCTTTCCAAAGATATTCTTGAATTCACGCAGCTCTTCGAGCACTTTTATGCCCGACAAGGGAGTAGGTGCAAGTCTATGATCCTCGTCACCATCAAATGATTTATTATCTTTTCGAAATGGATGTTCAGGAGGCAAAAATGCCCGATGACCCATGTAGCACATCTTACGACTATGCTTGAGATATTGAGAGCATGTGCCATAATTACAAGTAGGGCATGCAAATTTCCCCTTTGTGCTCCATCCAGAAAGCATTACTAGTGCAGGAAAATCACTAATAGTCCACATTAAGGCTGCACGCAGTTGAAACGTCTGGTTAGATTCAGTATCAAATGTTTCGACCCCAAATTCCCATAGTTCCTTCAATTCAGCAATTAGTGATTGTAGGTACACATCAATATCATTTCCCGGAGATGATGGACCTGGGATGATCATTGACAACATTATATACTCTGGCTTCATGCAAATCCAAGGCGACAGATTATAATTCATTAACATAACAGGCCACATGCTATGAGAAATGCTCATTGTTCGAAATGGGTTGAAACCATCACTTGAAAGACCCAATCTAACATTACGAGGGTCGCTAGAGAATTCAGGGTGCAAGGAGTCGAAATCCTTCCAAGCATCACCATCAGCAGGATGTCTTATATTTCCATCATTGGGTCGTTCAGTGGCATGCCATCTCATAGCTGCAGCTGTTTCCGGACACATGAATATCCTCTGAAGCCTAGGCTTAAGGGAAAGTACCTCAAAACCTTTGTAGGGGTTTTGGACTTTTTATTAGTCAAGACATTAACAACATTCTTCCATCTAGAAGACCCACACACAGAACAAGTATCAGCATTTACATTGTCATTCCAAAATAACATGCAATCATTAGGACATGCATGTATTTTTTCATAATCAAGACCCAAATCTTTTAGCATGCTTGTTGCCTGGTAGAAAGACTTGGGTAGCTGAGCAAATGGAAAGGCCTCTTTTAACAACTCCAACAAGTCAGAGAATGCCACATTACTCAACCCATGAATGCACTTAAACAAGTACAATCGAATCGTAAAGCCTAGTTTGGAGAAATTCTCACATCCTGGATATAATTCTTGTCTCCCTTCTTCCACTAATTTAAAGAATCTTTTTGCATCTTCAGATGGTCCCTCACTCACTCCATGTAACAAATTATCATCGACGTTTCGAAATGTATCATGAAGTAGTACATCAATATTATCATGTATGTCGGAACCTTCATCATTATTGCTTGGGCATCGAGTTTTTCTCGAGGAAAACCCTTCCCCGTGGAAAACCCATTTGGTGTATCCATGAACAAACCCATTAATGATCAAGTGATCCTCCACCACATTTCTATAATGCCAAAAACAATTAGCGCACTCTTTGCAAGGACATAATATTTCATTTCCTTGGGAAGCTCGTTCAAATGCCTTATCTAGAAATTCATTCACTCCTTGTATGTACTCGTCAGTTGACCTACGAAGGCCCATCCACCTTTTATCTCTATTATCCATTAAATTGGTTTTATCCTACATGACACCAAAACAACCAGAAAAATTGAATTTTATATTTTTAATATGAAAAATCAGATAAAAAGAAAGAATAGGAATAAGATCTTTGCTCAGACCAATAAATAGAGTTGAGGTTCTAGTTAAAGTCGCTAATAGAAAAGCGAAATAACTAGTTACAGTAGGCATGAAAGGACTAAATTAAATAAAAGATGTTCTTCCCTAAGCACGTTATTTCTATGATGCTCAATTCAAGATTATGTTATTTAAATACCCAAGTCACACATCAATCAAATGCAATCCTTTTGCATTCTTAAGAAACTACTTATCCAGATATAGATTAAAGGGTTAGGCAAATTTCATGAAATCTGCCAAAAGAGATCATCCACAAGTGAATGCCATGAAATCTGAGTTCACTTCCAAGGATATCAGAAAATTTCATTTAGGCAGATAAGTACTTCTGTTTCTTTCTAATATTTATCTTCAGAATTTTCAACAATGACCACTCTCGGGACTATCTAGATACCCTGAAGTGAACACTGTTAGAGTATTTAACAAGACACTCTTAAATTTCACTTGAAGTGAATACTGTTAGAGTATTTAACAAGACAAGTACTTGCTAAAATTTGGGAAAGTGAAAAAAAGCACAATCCAACTAAAAGAGAATGGTAGAAACAGAATGTAACGTGCACCATCTGGTTAGTTCATACTTCAATTATACTTAAACTGCATACAGTTAAAAAAGTGACCATCCACCTGCAGCCATTAGATTCCAGAATGAAATAAGGAGCTCCATCCTCATACTTCATGTGACTACTAGACCATCTATGCAGAGTTATTAACAGGGACCCTTTGGAGTTGGGACCGGGAGGCAATTTTAGCAATCAATACTTAAAAGTGGTTTTATATAATCCCTTTTCTAGGTGACATAGATGGACTTCATCTTTGCTTCTAGATGAAATGTGTAGAAAAAATTACTATAATAAAACTGAGGTTATACCAGTTAAAAGAGAAACAAGGCAGGATAGAAAAGAACAACTAACAAAAATAGAAAGGAAAGAGAAAAGATGAGAGGAGTCGAACAATAGCAGAGAAATCAGAAGGGGAAGAGGAGAAAAAAGAGAAGAAGCAGAAGAAGAGAAATTTACCTGCTTCAGGGCAGAAAAGCGTAGACCCCTCACCTCGCCTTGATTTTGCGCTTTAAGCGAGAAGCGCTCGCTTTTAATAACACTGCTTTAAACATGAGACTTTTAAGAGCTTTCAAGATTAATATAGCATTCAAGCAGCATAAATATTTAAATCAACTACTCTACATACGACTACCACACAAGAAACTAAGAAATGGCATCGAACGCTACTACTTTACATATAACTAACACATAGGAAGCTAAAAACAGTATCGACGAGAAACTGACCAATTTGCGAAGCTCCGAATTATTAAGAAAACCATAAATCTAAATACCGATAAACGAACGGAGCTTGGGCAGCAGTAAATAAGCCAAATAAACTTCAGAATACTCGTATCGAGTGAAATAAAAGAAACCAAACTTTGTCGTGGTAGTTTCAACAGGTGTTTTCTTTACGAGCAATTCGCCCATGCAAAAGGTCCAACAAGCTGATTATGGTTACAAGGTATTGCCATAATGATTCCAAACTGAATTATCATTTACTTCTCATGACCAACATTACAAAGATTGTGATTTCAAATCTTAAATAATAAATACACATTTTGTATAAGCCAAGCCAACTGCCCTAGCATCTCGAGCCAATCATCTTATAGTTCATTTAAAATCATAACTGCTAAATGACTATATACCCACCTAATGAAAAATTACTCAGGAAAAGTCCAGACTAAATAACTTGGCCAAAAAATTATAGAGAACAAAATTGTAACAAACTTTTAGTAAGAGAGAAGTCCAAAGCCAATTAAAACGGAAAATAGATGGCAGAATTCTAAAATCCCTTCCCTCGCAAAATCTTCCCGTATGAACTTAAAATCCAACTTCAGAAATTACTCCTTAGAGAGAGGAGAAATATTATATACACTTAGGATGGTATCACTTCACAGCAAGATTAATTTAACATCTCATAATAACTGGAATTTCGACCTTGTTCCAGCAGCTTTGTTAACAAATAACTCAATATTTTACGAGAATGAATAGAACACAGTGTAGTGTTGATAAACTTTTCAGCCATGTAAATTATGATACTAACTCCAAACCATATCATGAAACTCTTCCTCCATTCTGATCAACACTTGAATAGGGAGCATTCACTATGGCATCATACTATCATCGAACATCGATAGCAAACATCAAATCTCATGGTTTCTAACACAAAATCAAAACCTAACAAATAAATCCCCCAATTTCGCTAACTAAAAATCACAAAATATATCGCATAATACAGACAAAACAAAAGCAAAATAATGGGTTTATCAGAAATATTACCAAAAAAAGAAAATAGAAAGAACAATGAAATAATTTTTTATACTAGGGAAGAAGAAAGCGAAAATCGAACAGTAATAGCAAACATCGAACAGGGTAAAAAACCGAAAGTCTACCTCGGAGATTGTGGTATGTTAGCGATAATGGTCGTCCTTCACCGGAAATTATCGTCCTTCACCGGAGCTGGTCGACAGAGTTCGTCGGTGTGTTCTAGGTTGAAGAACAGAGAAAGCTAAGGGGTGTTTGAGATTTTGGGGGAGTCCGATTGAAATCGATGTGTTCTAGGTTAGTTTTACATTTTAGAGTTATTAAAATATTAGTGGGGTCCACTATTTTTGTTTTTTAATAAATACCTAGGAGGGAAAGTAAGGAGGGAAATGAAACCGTTCCTATAGCTTCTTTTTTTCACAAAATCGTTCCCACAAACAACCCTATTGTATCGCATATCAAAACCATCTCCATATCTTTACTTATGGTGACGATTACTAAACTATTGGAACGGTTATTGTTCAGAAGTGTGCCAGAAGCCTTTTGACTCTATTGGGACGGTTAAAACCATTCCAAAATATGATCTACTGTAACAGTTACAAAACCGCTGCCCAAAAACCGTTCCAATAAATTCGTTTTCTAGTAATGAAGAGTCGCCACCTGATATTTAAAGTTATACTAGGATACCTATAATTCTATAAAGATCATTATCTTAATGGTCCACTAAACCAATGAGAATCCGGGTAAGATTTCTAATTATTCTAAGGGGAAGGTGTTAGGCATCCCGTAGAGTTCCTTAAACTTGGGTTAGATGTGGGGACAAGAATTATTTATATCCTAGTTTATTTAAAAGTTACTAAGTGGGTCTATGTGAAAAATTACCTAAAGTGATAAAGTATTTGCTCAAAAATGGGTCCACGTATTAAGAAAAGAAAATGTTTGGTTTCTAAACAATGTTGTGACTCATTTGAAAAACGAGGATTTGTTACAAAAATGCAAGTATGTGTTAATATTCAATCCTTTTCTATATCCAAAGAGATGTTAAATTGATTTGTACCTTGACCATCTTTGAAGACTCATTTGATATAAATCATTTTGGTTTTCCAAAACAATTACTCATCTTTGTGAATTTCGGGTTTGGCTTGCATTGTAAAATTGCTACTCTTTCCAAAATAATTTAGCCATCGAATTTTGTCTAAGTGACTCATTTGGAGACTTTTCCAAAAATGCTTTTTCGCTTAAACCGATTGGACTCTGCAAACGCCTTAAAAATAGATGAAACTTGTTAGAAAAATTAACTAAACGAAAAGAGTCTAACTGGTGAACCAAAATAGTTGGGGTACATTCAAATTTTGAAAGTCACTAGCCTTATGAAGTAATGAGTTATCTAAGCCATGGTACCTTTTATCCTATGAGATTTTATTACCCTAGGATATTTTCTAAACAACCACAGCAACTATAAATCACAAAATATCAATTTTAATTCCACAAACACAACATATAAAGATAAAATAGGCTAATATCGGCAGCAATATAAAGTAAGGGATAGGAGTGGACTTTGTGTTGGGCTAACAATAGTTCAGGCCAAATTTAGATTTTGAGCAGCATCGGGCTTTAGCACAAGACGCAATAGGAAGAGTAGGCACCTTAGCTCTATGGTCTTAGGCCAGAGTTCACCATGAACTCTATAGGCCTAATGGTTCATGCAAAAGAAGAAAAGAAAAATTATTAGCACTTGCATATGAGATGTAATATACAGAATCATGAAAGAAGAATATGAATATGATCTACAGAACAAGGCTAAGCTAAATTATTTGTGACACCCCTCTATGGATTAGTCAAGGCCAATGGTCATTGGCTAGAATAAACCATATTTACCTACAAAGTCTCCATATGAACCCCCGACACTTTAGAGTTTACGAGGGTCTCTAGGACCCCGAACAGTGCTTGTGCCGGGGAGGAGCACCTTAATAGTGAAGTCAAGCTCACAATAGAAACCATTGACAACTGAACCTTGTTCCTCCATAAAGGTTTGACACATAAATTTTTGACTTAAGTCTTTACACAAACAATTTGGCCAAGGAGACCCAAGGAGCAATCATATTTCTAACAACACAGAACATTTAAGCAATGTCACAAGTAATATAAGCGTGATAGATTTTAGGACTCAATTAAATGAAGCACAACAGTCTCAAAATAACTAGACTAATTGAATGACTAATATCAAGCAATTAGTTAGGTGAAATGGCATAGATAATCAGGGAATTAACATATGTTTCAAATTCAAAAAATCTGTAGTAAATGATCACTATTAGGGTACATGATATAGGATTATATCAACATACATAGGACCTCAAGATTTTAAGAGGTTGCAAAGGCTCAAAATCAGCTAAAGATCATGCAATAACATCTACATATCCCTTATGAGAAGCAGTGCTTCAAACAATCATAATAAAAAAAACACAAAGTGGAACCATATATTCTTATAGGAATACTTACTATGTCGAAGATATATTTAAGTCATGAATGTCATCATAGGTTGTCTAAGGTATCAAGAGAATTTGGCAGAAGACATCCATTCAAGCATACATTCATTCATATGGGTTTCAACAGGGGGCCTTGTGCCTCATAAGAACATAATTAGGCATGGTTATTTTAGACAAGTTTAAGTCACTAGAGACTAAAGCTACAGATCACCAAACCAAACTCAGAGGAGTCACACAATAGCAAATAGGTACATAGTTGAGAGATCAACAACTTCACTGCATATGAAGTAACCTAAGCTAAGCATTTAGACAGTAGAATTAACCTCACAAGAAATCATACTAACAAAGTGATAGTAAGAACTACTCAACATGATAAAATAATCAAACTTAATCCCAAGTTGAATCCAATAGGCATGGGATCTATAACATAATAGGGTATAGTGAAGGAAAATAGCATTTAGTTAAAATATCAAACAGCCTAGACCAATAATACCCAACCAATAGACCAGGCAGTGTTCAACCCATGCTAATGAAGATCTTCTAAACATAGTTTTCACAATAACAAACAGCCAAGAAAATAATGAGAACAGCAGATATGTGACTTCAAGTTGATAGGTATTTAGCTAAACGAAACAGGATCACTATTATGCCATAAAGTAGAGCACGTTAAGTTAGGTACACAGATCTCATCACATATTCCACATTTATATCCATGCTAACATGACAAACAAACACGACTACTAATGAGAAATATCAATCAACTAAGCAGGACATTGCGAGAATCTAAACGACTAACAATAAAGAACATAAGTGGTTAAACATGAAACAATATGAAAAATAGAATAGACAACATAGGAAATAAACACAATTGTTAACAGGGAACATCGATTAGCTAAGTAGAAAATAACATGAGAAACAAAATACAACTATCGACAAGAAGCATATGCTGGCTAAACATAATAACATAAGCCAGCAGACATATTGTTAACAAAGAAACAACAAATAGATAAGTAGAAACGACATGAGAAAACTACAAGAAAAATCTGATTATTGAAATAAAATTGGAGGTAACTGATCTTCCTTAGGGCAGCAAATCAAGTAATTACCCTTAGCCATTTAAGAATCAGCACCCACAGCCAATTCCAAGTGATTAAGCTCGAACGAAAACGAAAAGAAAGAAAAGAAGTTTAGGCAAATCGACTGAGTACTTAAGAAACTAAAGTGTAGTGCATTTACTGCTATGTTCGATTGAAGTTGTGTGTGTTGGTGAGAGCATTAAAGCCCGATGTTTATAGCCAAGATTGGGTCTTTAGGGTTTTGATTTGAAGATTCAAATTCAGTAGAAGACAAGGAAAAATAATGAATACTGATGAGAAATCTTTTGACGAAACCAAAGGATGATAGAAATCAGAGGAGAAAAAGAAGAGTGGGGATTTACCCTCTAAGTGGTGGAGAAAATAGTTGTTTGAGACCTCTGGACCTCCGGGCATAGCTTTTTTCCAGAGGTTCTTGCGTTTGACCTCTAGGCCATCAACTGTCATGCTGAGGCCAAGATTCTTTTGAATATGTGGTTGCATGCAACGCCTTAATGGCGATTTTGAATGGAGGAGGATGCAATGATGAGTTCTGTGGTATTCATGTTTGAAGCTAAGGGTTCGGGGTTTGGGGGTTTGACAGGAGATGATGAGAATAGGAATTTTCAGCTGGATTCACGGCTTCATAGGAGGGTGGTGGTCTCACAGCTGTCTTTCATTGTTCTTGCACACATTTGTGTAAGGTTCAGAGATGGCAGAAGTTGGAGAGGATGAGAGAGAGAGGAAATGAGGGCTGCTGTCATAAGAAGAAATGATTTGCGTTTGGAGGGGGGGTCTAATGTAAAAATAGCATGGACTAGTTTTGGGATTTGTCGTTCAAAAACACAAAATCAATTAAAACTTGACTATATTATGCTGGACCGGTATACTTTGCTGGCTCCTATATACGGGAGACTGAAGCACCGGTGCTCCAAACTCCAGTATATTATACTGGACATTTATACTTGCTGGAACTCTAGTATATTATGCTGGAGTTCTGGTGTATTTATGTTGGAACTCCATCGGTATGCTCGAGTTGAAGCATACTTATGCTAAAACTCCAGTATAATATACTGGCGTATTTTTCGGGTTTTGAACAGTATTTTCGCTCAGATTTATCTTTATATGAAAAGTGTCTAAATTTCGATTACTTTTGAAACTGGGCTATTTTTATACGACCAGTTGTAAATCTGGTTATTTTTTAATTTCTCTCGGGTCTGATGGATTAAAAGTGAGGAGTGGATGTGGGCCGTTGGATCAATAGATCCATGGCCCAGAATTTTAGTTTATAAACATAAAAGAAAAATGATATTTGGATATAAAACGGGGGTCATTGGATTATTTTTTATCCAACAGTTGAGATTAAAAAGCTTGGAACAATTAGAATTACAGGAGAAATTGTAGTTAATATGGACCGTTGATGGATCGAATCAACGGTCCTGGTACGTTGTGTTTGTTTTGTGAGGGATTTTGGAGCGATGACGTGGCGATACGGGATTGCCATATAGGAAAGGATAGTGTGGGCTTGGACGGGTCAGGTATGTTCGGCCTGGTGTTTGGGCCAAGTTGAGTGGGTATTGGAAGAAATAGGCTGAAAAATAAAACTAACTCCATAGCCACTTCAATAAAAAAAAATGACTAATTGCAAATGTAGTTTGTTTAAATTCTTAACCCTTTTTTGTAACTAAATTAATTAAAATTATTTAATTCTAATAAAATATTATAAAGTATAATTACTGAATATATTATTAACTATTATAAGATAATTTTATATCATAAAAATAGTTAGAAAATCAAAATAATTAAAATACTCATATATTAAATTATAGAAGTCGATTGGTTGATTAAAATAATAAAGGTGAAATAATTGTAATTATTTAAGATAAAATTATTACTATAAAATTATAGGGATATAATTAATCTAAATAACTATTATTAATACTATATTTTATTTTTATTATTTATATTTCTAGAAAAATAAATAGTTTGAATAATAATTTTAAAACACCTTATTAAATTATTGTTGATCAATAAGCGTAAAAATTTAATTAGAAAAAGGGAGGGCCAAAATGAGTTGTCAACATGTGTTGATATGAATCGAGCTTACTTTTGGTGTTTATATGCGTACGAGTCGAGTGAAAGTAAAATAAAGTGAATGAGCACGAGTTGAAGCCAAAAACGAAGGAAAAAGAAATCACAGCACCTAGGCCAGCGCAATGCGTCATCCGTAGCACTGGTAATAGACATGGCAAAGGGTAGGCTCAAGCCAACGCCTAGACCAGCGCAATGTGTTGCCCATGGCGATGAAGACAATAGCGCAGGGAAGGCCATCGCCAGCTTGGCGCACCAGGCCTCCTGTGGCGCCCGATCCGAAAGTTTTGTACCGCGACTTGGCGAAGGTTTCTTTGGTTCTACACGTCTCTAACTTGTATAAAAGGGTTTCTAAACTATTTAAGAAGAGTTCGACCTTCTGGAGGCATCAAGACACATTAGAGCACCGAAGGAGCAAAGATTCACGTAGTTCCTTTTTCTTTCATTTTTTCTGGTATCTTTATAATTTTAATCCTTTTATGAAATTTGACATAACAATTAGTGGATAAAACTCTAATTTGGAGGTTGTGGTTGACATGAATATTGAAGTTTTTTTATTATCTCCTAGTTCATACGAATTATCTTTCTTGGTTATTTCTTTAATTTTGTGCTAAACTACTTAATTATTTGGCTACCTCTTAAGTTCTATTTAATATATATGTTATGTGTGAGAAGTTGTCCTTCAATTAGAGAAGAATTAAAGAAAGTATGTTTCTGAACGCGCGTCTCGGGGAATAATTTCGTGATTAGGATAGAGATATACCTAATAGTTTTGCTCAATTGAATGATATATTTTATTCATTCTCGATAGATTCAATTCCATATGAATATAGTGTCGATATATCTTGAATAGATGGATAGTACTGCAGGAGCACCATTGATATAAAAGATCCAATCAACAAGCAATTATAGATAATTCAGATTAATAGGTGTGATTTACGAAGTCAATAGGATTAAACTCAATCGCGATCATTATCTAGCAATCATAGATAATTCAGATTAAAAAGTGTGATTTACAAAGTCAATAGGATTAATAGACCTATCACAACCCTCACGTAGAAACATTGACGCCATAGACAGTGCCTCGCGCAGAAATATTGGTGCCCCAGACAGCGCCTCGCGCTGATGATGCTATCCGAGCAAATTTTAATCCTCACTGGTTTTGGACATGTATGCTTCGGCCCCTACCCTATAAACACCTATTAAAGTTAGTTTTTGAAGGGTTAGACATTATTAGAGAGGCAAGAGGCTACGAAATACTTTGGAAACACGAATCACTCGAGTTTTTCTCTCTGTTTTTCTTTAATTTGTAGTTTAATGCTTTTAGATATTACTATGATTATATTCCCAATTATGAGTAGCTAAACCTGTCATCTAGAGTTGATGGAACTAATTGTTGGATGAAGTCTTCATTGCGTTTTGATATAATTTATCCATTTTTACTCTTTATTTGTTCAACTATGTATTTCTTGTGGTTAATTGAAGGGCCCTTGATTAATCATGTCTAGTTATCTTGTGTTGCTTGAGAAAGAATACTTGATTATATTTTTGTTGATCAACGCCACTTTCGAGTAAGTTAAGAGACTAATTATTCGAATTTAAAAGCGGAATTAGAGATAACGAAGCTTTGACGTGATATTTATGAGTTGCACGAATTGTCAACTAGAGTAGTTCGAGAGAATACTTCTAGTAAATTATCTTAATTGATCGAGAGATAATTGCGGTAAACAAGAACTCATCATCTTTAGAGAGTATTACAACAGGATTATAGCTAACTTGTCGGGAATTAATCCGTCAATTGGGGAAATTGTAAACCCTAGATCCTGTTATCTTTGATTCAACCTCATTCTTGCTAATTGATAGTTTTTATTGTCATTTTTCCTTAGTTAAGTGATTTCTGTTAATTCAAAAATCAATTTTTGAACTTTGAAAGTTGTCTGAGCTTATCATTAGTGATACTGAAAAATTGTAGCAAATAGGTTAGTTCCCTGTGGGATTCGACTCCGAACTCTTGAACCGCATTATTTTTGCAGCGACCACTTAGTCCTTTTTATAAGGTATAGTTGAAAGTGATCAAATTTTGGCGTTGTTGCCGAGGAACTAACGGTGTTATTTTTTACAGCTTGAAAGAATTGCTAGGATTTTAGTTTAAATTAATTTTCTGTGGTGCTAAAAATATTTCCATTGAAATTCTCACGTTTGAATTCTTCTGTGCCTCAAGTGCATGCCTAGAAGCTCCTTGAGAACTAGTGAACTATTTGAATATCTCTCAGATCTCGAGAAAACATCTAGGATATTGAATCAGGCTAACAAGAAGGGCAAACAACTAAAACAGAACAAACAAATTGAAATGGGTGATGTCGAGAACGTCAACGGGAACAATATAAATAATCAAGTTGACCAAAACATCATAGTGGTAGCACCCCTGGTGCCGGAGGCTGCTCTATGTGATTGGGCGCAACAAACTGCTGACAGTCTGGCAACTGCAATTGCAATCCCTCCGATACAAGTGGAGACTTTTTAAATTACAAATAACAGGCTGCACTTGCTACAGAACAAAGGGTTGTTCTCCATGTCTTACATCGAAGACCCACACCAACATCTGAAGAATTTCCTATCAATTTGTGTCACTCAAAGACAGTCGAATATGATGCACGAAGCAATCAGATTATTACTATTTTCATTCTCAGTGACTGGGGAGGCTAAAACTTGGTTGTATTCAGTCCCATTAAACTCCATTGCTACATGGGAGGAACTAGCCAAGCAGTTCTTAAACAAGTTCTATCCACCCAATAAGACTGCAAGACAAATTGATGAGATATTGCACTTCAGGCAAAAACCAATTGAAACTTTGCAAGAATACTAATAGAGGTTTAAGGGCATGTTCGTGAAATGTAAACACCATGGCATCCCGGATCAGATGCTAGGACAGAGATTCTACATGGGTTTGGCTGACAGTCTGAAGGCCAATGTAGTTGCTTCAGCCAGGGGTGCATTCTTGAGCAAATCATTCACAGAGTGTAAGATTCTTCTTCACATGATGGCTCAAAATTCAGGCTGGATGACGAGGGATACAATACTCACCGCAATAGTGCATTTTGTTGCTCTTGCCCAAACAATACAAATGCAGAAAACATAGCCACTCTCATGACCTAGATGAGCTTGTTGACAAAGAAAATTGATGAGATGGGCATAAAACAGGTTCATATTGTTGACATAACAAATGGAGGCTTATGCACTCCCTTCATAAATCAATCGTATGTTTGCTCTAGAGTGGATAGAATGATAACTAGGGATTCAGAGAAGACATGAATTACATAAATAATTTTGTGTGTCAGAGGCAAGGTCGACATCAATGGGGACCTCAAAATCAGCAGTACAGAACAACCCAACAACAGTATAACAACTCCCACAACAAGTAGTGGAAAAGACTTCTAATTAGGAAAAGACACAAAGCAGTGGGTAGAAGCTAATTCTAGCACCATTGCCTCAAAGGTTGGCAAAGTAAAAGAAAGATGATCAATACAAGAAATTCATGGAAATGCTCAAACAAATTCAATTGAATATTCTGCTGATGAATGCTTTGAGGGAAATGCCAGGCTACACGAAAATGATGAAGGATTTGATATCTCGAAAGTTTGACTTCCAGGACCTGTCTACTGTAACTCTAACACAAACTTTTAGTGCAGTAGTGACAAGACCTATGGCT